TCTCTCTCTCTCTCTCTCTCTCTCTCTCTCTCTCACACACGCCTGTCATTTAATAACCTGTGTTTGTGTCAAACATTATGAATATGTCTCCTCTCCCCCTCTCACCCACCCAGTCCCACCCTTTCAAAATAAAAGCCCCTTGGAGTAACTGTATCTTAACATGAAGCTCAGAATTAGCTTAGTTGTTTTTGTATTTTTTTCTATTAAAATGTGTACACTGCACTCTGGTCCTGCCTTGTATGAATTAGTGGTTTCTTGTCAGTGGCTTGGGTGTAGTTATGCATGATACATTGATAATGCATTTTTAAAACCATTCTTTCAGTCATTCATTGATTCATTTCCTGTTGCAATGGTAATTAAACAAGGCAATACAACCATTGTATTCTCTACATGTCTCTCACAGTGAAACACACAGAGCAGGTGGTGTACCTTGAAAATACATGCATAGTTACTACCGGTAATATCGGCGTGTATATATATTGCAACGTCTTCGGGCAGTAGCAGCCACAATGTCAAAATAATAACAAAGTAAAACGATAATAAAGAGAGTAGCCGTGGGCTGAACAATATCTTGTCAGGGCCCCGTTCCTCGTACGTGGCTAACTGAGTTAGCCGGATACTTGTCAGGATAAGATGACGTAGATCAGGCTTTTCGGTTCCACGAAGCAAGTTTGGCAAAATCACCATGGCAACACATCCATAAGCTTGAGGCTGCTCCAGCGCAGGCTAACTGAAGGTAGCTGGATAAACTGCCACTCCCCCGGAAAACATGGCAGCTCCTGTCATATACGGTAGTCTAATGCGCTTGCGCATATACCGGGGGTTATACGGTAGTTCCAGAAATGCATGTAAAGTGAGACACACGGTGATCCATTAAAGCAGCTAAGCTAACTAAGAAGCCTCTATTGCATTAATGTACAGCTCCCTTCCTCAGAGATCCACTGATGAAGGAGGATATTAGTTAGATTAGCGTTTTATAGGGAGAGAGTTCTTCCACATCGCCAAGATCCGTTATCACATCACGATGACTTCCTATACGAGCGCTATCCATTCTGCCCACAAGGAATCATTTATTTACAGACCTTCTGGAGCATACATTGAACACCACACGCTGCAGCCGAGCATTGATGTCTCACACACTGGATGCAGCCTTGAGCTGTTCTGCGAGTGGTACATTGTTGTACAGTGTCGGCGATGCGGAGAACATGGGGAAAGCCGCTGCATGCCGTGCTGTTGGTAAAGTTTATTAGGCGCTTAATAAACTTATGGATGTGTTCATTACATCACCATGGCACATATTGTACTGACTCAGCATTCTGAGTAATGTGTGTGTGTTAGTGTTTACTTGCTCCCATGTCCTCTTGATGGCTGCGTTGCATACATGAGGGTTAAAGCACTCATAATGATATGACAGTGTTATTAGTACACCAGCATATCATTACTGTAGAACATGATGAAGGTGGACTCATGATAAGAACAGAGAGAATCACACACTATTTATCTTCACTGCTTCAGTTGATTGAATGTGTGATGATGAATAATACACACACACACACACACACACTGATCCGCCCACACACAGATTCACACACACAGATTCACACTGCTAGTTCTATATGGTAATCTACACAGACATGTATATACACATATATAGTACATGATACATGAGGGCATACAGTACATATATCCTCATATTAATGAGGATCAGTAGATGCTCTTTGGGCTTGTTTTTATCTTATTGTGAAAGAGTTGAGATCATTATTGTTGCTATAGATCTCATTGGATGATGCATTCATTAAGCCTACTGCCAGCAGCTTATTTAAAGACATATCATCTGATTGATTGGGGTGATGAGGCATTAAAATGAGCCGATACATTTACAACACTTACGCATTTAACGTGTCTGTGATATTTTGCGTGCTTCTTGTCTAGCCCTCGCAGCGGTGGAGGTGTTATATTTAGCCGTGATTAAGGTCTTGAATTCCTCATATGCGTTCATGATCATCTCCTGCTCATCAGCGGAGTAAAAAGAGGCTCTTTCTTTGACTTTATTTAAAATTGTACTGTTAGAAAATCATGGTTTCGGTGATCGACGCTTCCCCCTTTTGAAGTAGGACGGGCACGCGCAATTATCCTGATCCTGATCGTCTGGTTCCAAATAACGAGACTGTTTGAGAGGATCAGCCTTGGAGAAACCCAGATAGCCTGATTTCAATCATCGGGTTAATTTCAGCTGGCTAATAGGACATTTGATCGACTTAGCTGAACCACGTACGAGGAACGGGGCCCGGGTCTCCCGACTCCAGTGATTACTATTTGATAAGTGCCCTCACACACGAACCCAAGACGCTCCACATTACCATTATCATTCTAGCATTCCACTGCTGCTGCTGTTATTATTTCTGCTATAAGTAGTGCTACTACTGCTATTACTACTTTTATAATTTGTATAATTTCTGTCATATGGATGAACCATGCTGTATATGTGTTATGTTGTTCCTTCTGTACACATAACATCTATCACACTGATCCCTCCTCTGTTGCTCTCCCTGAGGTTTCTTCCTTTGTTTTCACTCAAAGTGTTTTTGGGGAGTTCTTCCTCTCACCATGTGAGGGTCCAAGGACAGAGGAATGTTCGATGTTGTACAGATCGTAAAGCCTGCTGAGAAAAAAATGGTGCTATTGGGCTGTAAAAAGTTAAATGTAATACAAATGAATCTATAATGTCTTCCTTTGTTTGATGAAGATTTTAGTTTTGTCCACAATCATGTACAAGTAGCTCATAGGTTCCAAAGCTGAGTCCTTACTGCAGGGCTCAGCCTCATGTCCTCCCCTCTCTCTCCCCTGTCCTGTCTATCACTCTGTCCTACACATTAAAGGAAAGAAGCCCCAAAAACTATCAGCCATACTATGGCAATAACCCACTAACACCAACATATCCACTGCTGCCATTACAGTTAATAATTGTAGATTTAAATGCACAATCTCTATTTAATAGGGACATATCACCTGTCACTGTTTAAAAAGGGCAAACCGGTGCCTCACTGAATCTAAGGCAATCACAGCTAAAATGATAGTGGTTTATTGTCATTACAAAGTATTTCCTAAACTTCACCAACTGCAGTATACAGCCAACTTGAGTGGATGATGCTCTCTCGTCTCAAACATCCATCTATGCATCCCATGGGATTACCAAACGCACCATTCCTCTCCAGAAATTCATAGCAACTTCCAAAGTGTGTGTGCTCCGTCTGTCCAGCAACATGTCAAGTCAGTTTCTTGTCAATTTGACCATTCAGCTTTGAGATTCCTTGTTTTCAACTGGAAAGTTGGAACATAGTGGCACTGATGAAAAGGTCAGGGGTCAGGGGTCACCAGAACATTGGAGTGTATCCTGTGGAGTACCTAAATATTAATACCAAAGAGGAACTGGCTGGTAATATTGAGATGTAGACATGTGACTAATGAAAGGACAAAGCAACAGAGGGTGGGTGTAGTTTTACCACAAACTCCTTCCCTGAGCAGCAGCAGCATAAATCCCTCTTGGAGTCCAGACACTGGTGGTGGTGCTGATGATCCTGCTGAGACTGGGCCATGACAGGCTAAATGCAGAGACTCTTATCTAAAATGAGACAGCAGCAGGATGATAACAATGCAGGTGTGTCACTGTGCTATTGGATAGAAGAGAACAGCTGATATGATTGAGAGCTCCAAACAATGACAGCAGCACATTATGAGTGAACGTCAGATGTATGAGAAATAAACTACAGTCCTAAACATGCCAAAGTCTTCCTGACTGAACTTACGCTAGAGCTTTACGAGAACTAAACTTGATTGCAGAAGTCATAAACAGACAGGTACATAGATAGCTCTGCTGTTACCCATCCTCTGCATGAGGAGCGGTGGACATGGGGACAGGAGAGCCGGGGATCAAACGCTAACCTTGTGCTCACTGCCGCTTTACTGGAGGGATGAACAGCATCCTTCCTAATATGTTCTATCATTTCCTGGTTTGTTGACGATTTCCATCATGTGCGCTCTGTATTCAGTATGTTTCTACTCATTCAGGTTGTATTCTGTCATCTATAGCTGGCACCACAGTGAAAGATGGGCAGACTGATTAGCTCACATCATGTACTGTACATCTATTCAGTACAGTCACTCTAACGTCCTCCTGAGATGTATGCAAATATATATGTGGATGTTGAAACATCAGATGTACAGTGTATGTAAAGAGTCAATGACAAGACAGGAATAAATGACCAGAAACAAGATGGATGGCAGATACAAAGCTAACTTCCATAATATATTTACAAAAGTGGCATACAGCGAACATTGTCATCTCACAGGTACTAACTGTGAGCACAAAGACCCCCAGCTGAGCAGCTCAGGTGTTCAGACCCTCGGTTGTGGCGGCTGATCTCTGTAAGCACAAGAATTCTGTCCCACAAAGAAAGAAAACAGGAGAATCTGAACACTTAAAGCTCAACAGAGGGTTTAAGGATACTCATTCAGCAGCTGAATGAGGTGAGGACTAGAGGGATATCTGATCAAACAGATGTTCATTTACATAGAAAAGCTCTGGAGGTCCACACATAGCTAAAGCTGCAGCTTCAGTGTAACTTCACTTCTTTACAGACTTAACGGACGGCTCTAAACCACTGGTGGGAATCCTTCGAGTGAGAAACCAGGAACATAGTTTTGGCTTTCATAAGACCCAAGTTAAAATAAGCCAGAATTATGCTTGAAAGACTAATGTTGTAATCCCCTTTGATAGAACTGTGTTATACTGTACCGTTATCAGACAGGACACCGTGGTACAGATGTCTTTCTTTCATTAACTCAACCTCCAGCCGGAGCTACCTTGCTTCTTACTGGCAGTTAGCAGACCTGATGAGTGGTCACTACGTTACCTTCCAGCACCACCTGGATGAACTGCACCATCCACTACAGTTGGTGTTGCCACTTTCTGGTGTGATCAAATTCAGTATTAGTCATATTAACAATAGTAACAAATACTAGTACGATCCCGTTGCACCTCACTATTCATGAAGTAAAGAGGAGAGAATTCAAAAAAGGATTCATACTGAAGTACTGGTTAGCCAACGGTAAACAGAGATGACACGTAACAAAGGGAACATACTACAATCGCCACACCTGGTATACAAAAACAAAGCGTCATAGAAAATCTGCAAAGACACAAACTGTTGGACCAAAGGAAGTCAAAGCACAGGCACAGACATGTGGCAACGTGGCAAGCTGTCGGTCCACATCTCATCCGTGTGGAGGGTCAGCGGTTTGTTCCACAGAGTAGGAGAGTCACGTAGACAGAGTCTTGCATCCTTTTCATGCCAGATGCACTCAACGGTGACGGGATCAATAGCATTGACATATTGATTGTAGTGACCTTAGTGAGTCCACCTTCAGGAGCAGACCGGTGGAGCGACGCTCTGATGAACCTTTGATTGGGAGCACTGACCGGTGGAATGGCAGACAGACAGAGAGTCTTTGCCTGCTGGAGAGGGGTGGGGGGGGGGGCTGAACGTATTACCTTTGCTGCTCCGTGGGAGATGGTGTTGCTTTAGAAAAGCTGCTGTACTCAGAAAGCCTTCTCTGGGTACAGAAAGTCACTGTTATACCATGGTGTTGCTGTCGCCCACTCTGTCCACATACTGCAAGAGAAGAGAGAAAGCATGTTTAGTGTCACTGGTTGCTCTTCAGCTTCTCTGGTGCACACAGCAGGACCTGCCCACTACCCTGAAGCAGTGATGGAAGCATGCATGACTTAAGGGACACACCACGGACGGAATCACTTCCTGCCATTGCTGCTTGTATTGTTATTACCAATTTAGCAATGATTCACAGTATTTCATTGAAATTCTGTCATTATATATAGTGAGGTATATATGTAGTATGAGGGATGAGGGTGTCCTGAATGATGTTCCTACTCATGTTAATATGCTCTCTTCTTAGAAAGGATCAATTATGCATCGCTGTCATTTGAATCTTATATTCTGTTTTTTAGGGTGACTTTGTAACATCTGTCATGGGACCTGACCAAGAGATGAAAACGCTGCTGTAGTTACAGTGATGTTTGATTGATATTCAACATCTCTACCAAAGAAACCAAGAAATAAATAACTAGAGAAGTGCAGATTTCTGTGGAATAACTAATAATAACATACATTGTTTGATGAAGACGTTTTAATTTCAACATCTCACAAAACAACAAACAAACAATATCAGTGTCTACAAATCAAAGGCCTGGTGACATCAGTACGTAGAGCGGCCATGATGGAGTGAAGCTGCTTCTTCTGAAAGGACACGCAGTGTTCAATGGCGAGCTTCATGGTGAACTATGAATCTGCACTGTTGACCAACAGCAAACTGTTGTGACTCAGCGTTTGAGGACTGGGAACCCCAGGGCTGAGCAAGCTGTTATTACAATGTTATTACAATGTTATCTTATTAAATAAAACCTGACTGTGGATTTGACAATTTAGTTTCATGTGGTTTTATTTTGAAAACTGTTACTTTGGGCTAATCATAGCACTGAGACCAGTAAAGGTAGTCAATGACATGAGGATACATCTTCAGCGTTGGCACTACTCCATCTGAGCACAGCTGATCACTACACATCTGTATAGACTGAGGGATCACACTGGACCATCGGTTGCTGGTTTCCCTCTCATCTCTCTGGCTTGTTTCCATCGATAACCTTTCCAAAACCTCCCCGACCGCCAAGCATTGATTTAGGGCCACTTCTTGTTAAACTGTATATGTTACCACTCGGTGATGTCATCAGGAGACACGCGATCTCTTCCCATAGTTATGCAGATGTGTCTCCTGATGACACAGGACCAATTGATTCCCCTTTTAAATGTATTTGTGTTCATGTTTGGATGTTGAAAAGCGTTTAACAGCTCAACCAGGATAAAAGTCACATTTTAGTCTAAAGCTCAGAGAGAAACCTGGCTCTGAACCTCAGGGCTCATGTGGGGTATGCCACTCAATCTGTTTGATCGCCTAAAGAATATTGCTAACGTGCGACCACTTCTCTGGACTACTGTAATGCTCTAGTTATGATAGTTATAGATGTGCAGTCTGAGTGCTGAGCACACGTTACACTGGTTGCCTGTCAGTTTCCATATTGATTTAGATGTTGCTCTGACATATATACGTCTCACATGCTAACAGTGTGTGAGCCGGAGTGCAGCACTGAAAGCTTTGGTGAGGAAGCTTTAGGTGTTAAGCTTTGAGCCGCTGGAACAGAGTGGCTGAGCATCTGAGAGCTGCTAGAAGCACCTTTTAAACCTATTCAGCTTAATGAACATTCAAATCATTTATTCACCCATTTGATTGAATTTAAGTTGTTCAGTTTCACTCCGTTGTATAGTTATTGTATTTATCACTTATTCTATTCTATTGGAGTTGTAATAATCTCATTTTAGCTTTTCATTCTATTTGATTACATTTGTATCATTTCATTGTGTTGCATGCATCGGTCTCACATTGTGTGTTGTTGTGTTGCGTGTTGTTGTGTTGTGCACACTGTTCTCAGCAGCGCACTAACTCTGCAGGTTGTAGTGTCTGTTAGAGCGGAGGAAGCTCAGAGTTCTACTCAGCCAAGTGAGAATGAAGTCAAAGCGCTCTGTGAACGGGAGGCCTGGCCACGGCAACAGCAAGATAGAAGCTCTGCTGCATCGTCCACTTAAATATACAGTAAGAGCAGAAGCTCTATGAACATGGTTAGAGATCATGCCACTAATATGTCTATAGGAGATCACCAGTCACTATGTCATCAAACACAGATGAATGTTCCCTCTCCACGCACAAACTCTCAAAGAAAAAGAAAACCAATGAGAAAAGGCTGCCAACATGTTGGAAGTATTATTAGATGACTTGGCTTCACATCAGTAATTGAATCTGGTTTAGCTGCAGTGTGTGCCTTTAAAGCCAAATGAATAAATGAAGATTAAAACCCAGCTCCCCAAACAAACGTCCATGTCCCTTCTACCATGAGCTGCTGGCTGTCTGAACATGGTAAAGCGTATTAATATGTTAGCATGCAGAGGGGGATGGGCAGTGACTGACCACGACTGCTGATCGTCCTCAGAGCCTTACGAAGGCTTTAGTAAAACACAGAAGAGAGACAGTCACCTCACAACAGAGCTTCCCACACATCAGCATGGATGAGCACGTCCATCAGCCACAAACTAACGCGGTGCTGCAACAGCTGCTTCTGATTAACCCAGACGACCTGACATCACTCTATTTCACAAACGACCTTCTGTTGTTCAGATGTATTCTCAGATGTTGAGGTTAAACTACATTCACAGGCAGTATTACTAATCCAGACAGCACCGTCGTATTAAAGCAGCTGTGATGTGCAGGAGCTGAGCTGTCATTGGATCGGAGCAGTTTGGTAATCTGTGGTGATTAATACACAGGAGCTTCCTCCTGGTACCGTGCTGCGCGTAAACAAAGCAGAGCTGCAGAGCTGCTGCAGTGCTGCTCATACATACTGCACTGATGAAGGGCAGGTTCAGGATGGAGCCCAGGACGGGTATTCTTCTGATGAAGCCGACTGCAACTGGGAAGAAACCCCTGGATGTGAGGAGAGGGGAAGAGTTAGTCACAGTCCTCATGAAGATGACTCAAGTAATAACATCCAAACATGTACGATCACAAACTATCTCAATAAATACACATGCATTGTGTTCTGTTCTGTGGATAGTTATTGTTATGAGCTATATATACACAACACATGTATGTGAAATGCTGCTGTAATGTTCATGACAAGCCCTCCTCATTAAGTCTCTAACTGCGTCTGAACCCTGTGGAGGAAGACGGGTCTTTTGGAGGCTTGACCCATCTTGTACACACAATGAACACACAGCATAGAGGGCACAACTTGACGCCCATAATCCCATCGCTGGCCTGTGGAGGGTAAAAACAACCGCCTGGAACGGCCTCGACACACTTCTTTTCACCTGCCGGCGATGAGCTTCAGTGGGAAGTTCTTGCACTAACCCCGGTTCCACACCCACTGCTCCGTTTCTCAGCTTGTGCCTCCTTTGGTTCCTCTTACCTGAACAAGAGGAAAAAGCCGTAGATCTCCAGCACAACTCCGATGATGGGCCAGCCGATCAGCACCACTAACACACCTCCCAGGAAGAAGCTAGTGGCCTTCATCTTGTGCTTCTGGAAGAAGAAGCGGAAGGTCCTCTCCAGCCCGATGACAAAGGAAAGTCCAGCAACAAACAGGATCTACAGGAAATAAAGGGGATTGTCCAGTATTACAGAGTGCTCCAATATTGGTCCTTTGAAACTGCAGGAACACCAACACATGTCTCTTCAGTTGATTTCACTTTTAGTGCCTTTTTCTGCTGCATCTTGGGTACAGCATCCAGCCAGAGAGCAAGAAAGCACTGGTCTGTGCTAGTATCAATAGAAGGACTGAGGAGGAAATTGAATTTAATGCCATTGATGTCGACCACCAGAATAATCTAAAAACAAGGGAGCTAAGAGAACACAGATGAGAGAACTGAAGTTCACCACCCAAATCACTCAGGAAGATTTAAAAGTGCTCACAGCGAGGTCTGTGGATGAATCAGCCTAATAAACGTCTGGTTGGTGAGAGACAGAGACGGACATGGAACCCTCTACTGGGCCCAGCTGGTATTAGACTGTCACTACACAAATATCACGGCCCAAAGAACTCATGATAACTAGAGAAGATTTCATGAATCATGAATACTGTTCGCAGTCAAATTCATCTTTAACTTTGTTCATTTTGTCTCTTCTTTAGCAAATGATTTACACTCAAAGTACTAGTGAAGGCTTGTGGAGAGAGAGTCTGTTTACATAACATGATATAAGAGGCTCTGGACTATTCACATGGTTTTATCATCTGTATTATTGACATATCATCAATATTTCATATTTAAATATCCCAGTTATCATATACCAGTAACAGCCCTACTCTCAAGAGATGAAACCAAGTGGTTGTGTGTAAGAAATAATCTGAGTGTTATTAATCTATACTGGAGAGGCTCTGTGAAGTCTGACAAAACAACCCTGATGATGTCATAGCAATGTCATCAGGGTTATCTCCGTTTTGGCTCGGAGACGTTACACTTTAAAAGAAAGTCTGTATTACAAAATGGGGGTGTGGAGTTGAAAGACATCCTAGTTAACATGGCATGGAGGATTGAACAAGTAGATTATAGTTAAATTGCATTGTGGGAAATGTTGGATCAAGTGATTTTGGAGTTTGACCATAACAAGGGACTTCTGCTGCTTTCATTTTGACTATCCTCTTTCCATCCGTCTCTGGGAGACATAGGGACGAGCCCACTTCTACAGTGAGAGGCATCTGTGCCAGTTAGCCAATTGTGACTCTCCTGAGGGCTCATGCCGGACAGAGTGGGAAGCCTGTTTCTACAAGTGCACCGAGTCTGCCTTCAACTGACCTATGTGGCACTGTCAACCAAAGGAGAGCTGATGAAGTGCATATCATCTGAGGATGGATGTCCATGTTAATGATGATACATAGAACATGTCAGATGAATGAATGAAAGGTTCCTTCTGTGATGAATTTGAACTAGAATGCATATCAGTGTCAGCACCAGCCAATATGGAGAGAAGGAAGTTCCCCCTGTACGTTTCATATAATATCAGTTCAATGAAGCAGGAACACTCACATTTCCAATAGCCAGGAGTGCTTTGTCAAAGAACAAGATCATCCCGAAGAAGAGGAAAAACACGCCGAAGCCCGTTAACCCCATTCCAATCTCTGCAGGACACACACACACACACACCATCAGAGTGAGTCACTACAGTTTGAAGCTAGGAGATTTGCGGCCTCCCTGTTGCACATTGCATGTGATTGTATGTTTAACTCTGAAAGACACATTGGAATCACCTAGAAAGTGAGATTTGCATTGATATGATTTATTCAAACAAGTCTCAGAGAAGTTGATGGTGCAGACAGATGATCATGGAAGGTTACATTGATCATCCAGATCAATATCTGATACATAAATGTCATACTTGTTAAGGAGTACCTTCAAACCTAACAAACTTTAATAAGTACCGCGTCGACACAAGGTCAATATTTCTTATGAACGACAGTGAAACTGCAAACAGTAACGTCAGTGAGCTTCCACTGGTCCCTCTACCTGCAGCTCCTCAAAGCTTTGATAGGAAATGACTTGAACGTCTGCTACTTTACAGTTAGCACACAGCTAGTAGTAGGAGTTAGCGTTAGCTATTCGGGCCACGGGTTAACGTATGGCACGCTATGGCAGAAATAAAATAAGCTAACTTTTCTAGCACTGGATGCTAATTGCTAGTTAACCAACTGCTGCAGCGCAAATGAAGCCGGTTTGATAGAGAGGGAAGCAACCTACAGAGACGGTACATGTACATATGGGCTTACTTTGGGAGTCCGTTAGCGAAATCATATTGACGCCGAATACACGTGTGAAGATAAAATAGAAACAAGTATTGAAGTAGCATTCAAGTACACCTATAAGAATAATTTGGATGACAGCTGCCACTGCAACAACAGCCACGTCTTCCGGAAACACACCTTCTCGTCATGTCAGTTTCCGGAACAGCGCCGTGTCGCATTCAACATGGCAACTTTAATTAAACGCCTTAGGTCTTCATAAAGTTCACTACTCTTTTGTAATAATAAATAATCTTAGCATCTGTATAGTGCGCAGTATAATATATCTACTGTTGAAGAGAATATTTTGTGAAAACGAGACATATGTCAACTCTCGGAAGGTTTTGTCAATTTCCACTGGGCATGCATCTTGAATGCGTCACAGTTTCAATTGGGCAGTAGTTGCCCTGTTTTTACTTTGTCAGGCGTTACTGATGTGGACTTGGGATAACAGGATTTTCTTGCTTTGAATCAGTCCTCCTGGTTTATTCATCAAACATAGACTACATACGTGTTATTGATTAAATACATTTAAAAACAGGCCGTGGTTGATAAAGTGTGACAATCCTGCAGCAGCAGGCGGATACTTCAGGCATCCTGGCAGGCGACGGCCAGGGCAATCTGCGCGTAGTGCTCTCTCCGCTTCTTCTGTTTGTGCTTTCTGTGCTGTAGCAACCTTGAAGTGGAGACCCAACAGCAACGGGGACTGGTCGGAGTCGCTGAATGGTTTGTCATTTGTGTTTCATGCTTTTTCAAAGTCTTGTCTCAAACGTTTTAGCAACACAACATAGTGGGAACCTTTTTAAAGTAGCGACGCTTTATCGAGTTAGCTGGAGAAGATGGCAGTGACTGAGAACGTGAATAATGGACCCATTAACACGCTGCGTTTACTAGCTGCCCTCCGATGGAAGAACGTGTGCACCTGCTGTGTCTTAAGTTAGCTTACCTTAGTGATACATTAGCTAGTTGCGGTCAGCTATTCATGTTAATGGTCCAATGGACGTAACGTGACTTTGTTACCACTATTAATATTGGCTCACGAGAGGTAGCTCGATGTAAGTTAGCTTCGTTCTGGTTCCAATGCGCCTTCAGAATCAGAATCAGAATCAGAACCGTTTATTGCCATGGTATGTTGAACATACAAGGAATTTGGCGTGACGGGAGGTGCAAACATTTAACAATCAACAACAATCAGTGCAAGTAGAAACATATTAAAATGTACAGAGAGATATAAAATAAAGTAAGATATAAAATAAATGAAATATAAAATAAAGATGAAATATAAAAGTGCACAAACGAACAGATAATCAGGACTTTAAACAAGTGAGATGTAAGTGTGGTGTAAAGTGTTGAGTGTAATAGAAGGGATGCAGGGGAGTGACTGGTAGGAATTTGTCCTGGGGATGACAGAGTCGGTGGGGGTCCTGGGCTCTGTTAATGAGACCGACTGCGGACGGGAAGAAGCTGTTCGTGTGGCGTGAGGTCTTGGTCCTGATGGACCTCAGCCTCCTACCAGATGGGGCACCAACAGTTTATGTCCAGGGTGAGAGGGGTCGGCTGCAATCTTTCTTGCTCGCTTCAGGGTTCTTGAAGCGAACAAGTCCTGGAGAGACGGCAGATTGCAGCCAATCACCCTCTCAGCAGAGAGAATGATGCGCTGCAGCCTGCCCTTGTCCTTGGCTGTGGCAGTCTGTATAGTCCATGCACGCCCGAAGATCCTCCAGAGCCTCACTGGTCCACTTCTTGAATTTCCTCACCACAGATTTACAGCTTGAGTTTCTGCCTGTATGAAGGAATCAGATGGACCATGACGTGGTCAGAGAGTCCCAGTGCAGCACGAGGGACGGCGTGATAGGCCCCGCTGATTGTGTGTAACAGTGATCTAGAATGTTCTCCTCTCTGGTTGGACATTTAATAAACTGTCTGTATTTGGGGAGTTCATGGCTGAGGTTTCCTTTGTTGAAGTCAACTGGCAGTGATAGGAATGTTCCAGAATAAATACTGAAACATTTCATGTAGAAAACCAAATGACTGAATGTGAACCACCTAGAAGTAGCTTCTTCAATCACACTAAAAAGCAATAACTAAATGAGCAACAATACTAAAGGTAATGGTCAGTGTAGTGCGTCTCTACACACAGTTCTGTTTCATTGAACATGCCTTTCTGTCTCACAGGGAATCACATCTCTGAAGGTCGGCTCCTGTTCCAGCGAATCAGTCTGATAAATATGGACGGAGGTGGCAGATCTAATGGTAGGTCTGTTCTTCCAACACAGTTTCATTTGCATGAAAACTGAACCAAATCTTATTAAAGAGCAAATGTGCTCGGATGTAAATATTCACACAGTTGTTGTTGTATGAGAGGAGGCTGACGTCACGGGGACTGATGGCAGACTACAGCCTGCCTCACGAGGGGCACTCAGAGGAGCAGTGAGGTCATTAGTGGTGCAGGTGTGAGACCTGTTCCCGTCTGTCTGTTTTCTAAATGAACACAAGGGCTGCGTGTCAACACCAGTGTGATGCCTGAGTTTCAGTAACATTACAAAATGACATTGTTTTAATAATACCTATTATCATTATGCTTGATGACAACATGCATTTAACCAATGAGACACTTGCCTCTGAGTCGCTCAGTGAAAGTGCTGACAGAGCAACAGTGTTTATCTGAGGGGGGAAGCTACGTCATCCTCAGCTGTCACCGCCTCAAACGGTGAAGGACAGAAAGTTCGATCTTTTTAAATAACTACAAGTTGTGATTGCAAAAGGAACAATTCAATTTGTAGAGTCCTGCCATAGTTTGAGAGGATTCCAGCTGTGTGTCGCTCCTCTTTTATTTGTTTACGGGTGTTTCCTCGCTCATGGCTCCTTTCCTCTAGCACCACCAGCAGGTCAAAATGTTTCCCTCATTCTGAAGTGGTTCAACATCTACGGGGCTGATTCACATTCATGCTCCTAAATGATGATCCTGATGAGCTCTTCTAGCGCCACCATGAGGTCGACGTTTGTGCTTTTGAGTTAAGCGTCTCAACAACTGTTGATGGATTGTTGTGATGTTTCCTACACACAGTCAAGCCCCCCATGGTGAAACTGGTAACAACTGGTGTTGCTCTTACTTTTTATCTTGTGCCATCATCAAGACAAATTTCCAATTCATCCAATTCTTTGATTTATTACCACATATACTGTATGTTAGCATTTAGCTCAAAGCATAGCCTCACAGTTCTGCTAGCATGGCGCATGACTCTTGGTCTTGCTTTATTGAAACAAACATACATGCTACATGTATTAGCAAACTGCCATGCAGATATATATCTGTGGTAACTGAAGTGACTGATCCCGGCCGTGCCAGTGGATCAGGTGTATGCCATGCAGCAGAGGTCTGCTGTCTACAGACGTGTGGACAAACAGACCTCTTCTTAAAGCACACAGTCAAAAGGCTGAGCTTGTAAGGAGTGATCTGACCAAAGCCTGACGCCTCCCAGCTGCGTATCTGCTGTTTGGTCTTTGGTGACAGGTGACGTCCCCATCTGTTGCCCTTCATAGACCGTGACTGTACAGATGACATTACAATAATGAGGCTGTTCTTCAAACAAACAGCAGCTTGTAATGGGAGACTTGTGACTTCATGTCTTTCCAGTCTGTGAACTGGTGGGATCTGAAAAGATTTTCCATGGATTCTGAAGTGTCCTCAAATGGGAGTCTTGTATGCATGCTGTGGTCAGGTGACCTCATCAGTATCACCTGATCCTATTTGTAATGAACACGCTATACTGGATTCATGGATGTATTTCACATTGAAGTGAAGAACATTTTGACATATCTTTTAATAAAACGGGAGAATCAAAGTAAAAAAGTGTGCATTTCACATCCTTTGCAACTACCTCATCTCCACTCACGTGTCCATGTCAACATCCATATCTGCTCATGGTCTCTAACTGTGTTCCCTCCGGTTCAGATGTGCAGGTGGAGCTGGACTCTGTGGAGGCGGAGCTGGAGGAGGTGGAGCTGCAGATCACAGAGCTCCTGCAGAAGCAGGCTGAGCTGACGGGTCGTAAGGATGCTCTGCTGCAGCGACTGGGGGAGGCCTGTGATGCTGCACAGCCGGCATCCTCAAAGTCATCTGGAGCTCATCCAGTACTGAGCAAGCAGGAGATGCTGCTCTATGATAGCACAGGTACTCTACTCTCATTTCACGTTTCACACATGCACTGCAACCCTGAACTTATCTAGACATCACCCAGAGGAGCTGTATGTGAGAGCACACATGTCCCAGTCAGTTTAAACAGTCTTTACAATCGTCCGAGGCTGAAGAAGAAGAAGGGTCATTTACACGAAGCCTGAACTGCAGAAACGTGAGATTCAGGGACTTCTGACAGTAAGGGCCGACGGTAACAGCGTGTAACCGCGTCATGTCCTGCCTCCTGCACGCTCTACCCAAGCCACACCCCTCGCCTAAAACAAACGAGTACTTCCAGTAGGTGAGAACGCGTCTGACATGGACAACGGCTATCGAGTGCTACATGTGTGTCCAGAGAGTCAGGTCCAGACTTCATATAAGAAAACTGCTTGACAGCCACTGAGGTTGTATGCTGACTTGTTCTAATCTTTTGATGTTTGGTAGATTTTCCATGGTCCAAAGAAGTAGAGCAGCACCTGAAGAGCTCGTTCCATCTCTCCACGTTCAGACCTCTGCAGCTGAGGGCCATCAACCTGACCCTGTCAGGCAGAGATCTGTTCCTGGTGATGCCCACAGGAAGAGGAAAAAGCCTCTGCTACCAGCTGCCTGCAGTCTGCTCCAAGGGTACACCGACACACATGCAGCGTCATGCTCGTACACCACTTCTAAGAGCATCTGTTGGCCCCACATGTAATCACATCACATGCTCTTGTCAGGTTTTACATTGGTTGTCAGTCCCCTGGTGTCCCTGATGGAGGACCAGATCATGTCCCTGAAGTCCATCGATGTGGCAGCGGTCACGCTGAACGCGTCCAGCAGCAAGGTAACCACGGCCAACTGTGTTCTGCTTATTTATCTCCCTTCAGCTCGCCTCCTGATCTGTTGATCTCCTCCTACACTACTGTTTGACAGAAAAGACAGGTCTTCACACTTGTTTCTGCACAATGATGAATAAGTTCTAGTATAACAGCAACATGGACGGTAAGCTGCTGTACACAGTGTGTGCTGATATGGAGGAGATGTCTAACTGCTAGTGCGTCATGTTGACGTTCAGGTAACTGCTGACTTCATCCTCTCAAGCATCATTGTTATTGCAATAAGTTCTTCAGGTATCCTTCTGGTTTCCCCCTCGGTCACTTATCTGCTCATACTGATGGTAACACTGACTGATGTAGTGTGTGAAAGAGCAAAAGGAGAGGATTCCAATTCTAGTTTCTACATTTAATAAGCACGAGTAGGGAAGGGAGCAGACTAACCCCACACTCGTCTGTTTGTCAAAATGGAGTTAGAGAACAATTGTCTAAATGTATTTACATTTGTATGGATAATATTAATGTTTTGGTGTGAAATGTCAGTTTTCATGGTGTGAAAAAACAAAATGTATAAAAACCGATGTAGGAGCATGCCAAGACCGTCATGGCTGGAATGATGGATCCCAAAGCCCCTTTCAAGCTGCTGTACGTGACTCCAGAGAAGATCGCCAAGAGCAAGCTGCTCATGTCTCGTCTGGAGAAAGCCCATAACGCAGACCTGCTGAGTCGGATCGCCGTGGACGAGGTTCACTGCTGCAGTCAGTGGGGACATGACTTCAGACCAGGTGGGATGTGTGGAAGTATAGGTCCTCCAAGGCCACCTCACTAACCCCCTTCACATCACATACCAGGTGTGTCTTCAAGCTTGATGAAGGTGTGCGTGTGTGTGTGTGTGTGTGTGTGTGCGCGCGCGCAGATTATAAACTGCTGGGCATCCTGAAGAGGCAGTTCCCCAACGTCCCCCTGCTGGGACTCACAGCCACAGCAACCAGCAGCGTCCTCAAGGACTGTGAGAAGATCCTGTGTGTGCCACAGCCAATCACACTGTCTGCATCCTTCAACCGAACCAATCTCTACTACGAGGTAGTAACCGTGACAGCTGCACTCTCTGATGCACACACCTGTCAGCCACACCTGCTTCCTACTCAAACACACACACACCAGATGTCTGTTAGTCACTCACAGGCTCTCGTGTACTCTTCACACCTGCTAATACACCTGTTATGCTGCGTTCACACCAACCACGGCGCGAATTATTCATGCGAGTAGATTACATACAAAGTCTATGCACAGACGCGATGAGACTGGAGTGACGCGAATTTGCGATGGCGCAATTGACGCAAATTCGCGGCAATCGCCCCAAACGCGTGAGTTGAAATTTTTCAACTTCAGCGAAGTATTCGCGTTACGCCCCAGCGAGATAGCCTATCAGCGTTGAGATGTTTCTCCTGTCATCACTGACGTCCTGCCGTTGTTGAATCAGGAAATAAATACTGTAGCCGTCTGTGTTCACCCAGAGCTCTATGATACCTCATATCAATAAAGACCGGACCAAACTGTGTATAAATGTGTGTGTGTGTGTGTGTGTGTGTGTGTGTGTGTGTGTGTGTAAACCATATGGTACAAACAATGAATAGACGCTGCCGTATTTACGTCTAGATGACGTTATTCTGAGTGTTGGTGGAGCTGCTACAATGTTAGCATAGCACCGCTCCATTGAGAAGACAAGTACAAATCGGCATCATTACGTAGTTATTTCGGAGTCCCTTTTTGTCGGTTTATTGCCGTTAAATCACAGCCAGATCAGTTTATTTTGTGTTCATACAGCTGTAGTAAACTGCGACGTGTGGCTCACTAGACACAGTGAACACAGCATTAGACCATCAACTCATCTTACTGCCTTGCATCTGCTTACAAAACATCAGAGACCATACTAGTGTTTCTGCATGTTTAACTTATTCCTAACAAACCTGTGATCTATACTTAAAACAAATTGAAGAAGTCTGTCTCTCACCTGGCTAGAGACTGTTCCAGTGACACTAACCGTCTGCTTATTTCTCAGGTTCGTATTAAAGATTCAAACTATGATGCATCAATAAGTGACGTTGCGTCTCTGATCAAGAGCCGATACAAGGATCAGTCAGGTATTGCAGCAAAACCGCATCATGCTGAGGATATATATGTATGTGTGTGTATATGTATGTGTGTGTGTATATGTATGTGTGTATACGTGTATATGTGTATACACGTGTATATGTGTATACGTGTATATACGTGTATATGTGTATACGTGTATATATGTGTGTATACGTGTATGTGTGTATACGTGTATATACGTGTATGTGTGTATAC